AARGAAATAATAGAGAATTTTCTAAAGTTGTGAAAGGGCATAACTGCGCTCTACAAAATGGTTGAACAAATACATAAACATATTCTGCTAAAAAATTAAATAGCAAATACTGAAAATGTCCTAGGAGAAACAGAGCTTCACCAAAATGGAAACAAATGGAAGACAGCCTCAGACCACTCCCTACTGCAAAATACCAGAGGCCCTGGGAACAATATCTACAGTGGTAAGTGAGAGCGTGTGCCCAGCCATCCTAGAACCACTCAACGACACACAAACATAGAAAGTATAGGAAGTCGCTCTCAGTGCAGGGAGTCGAGAGAACATGCCAACACCATTCCCTGCTCCATTAGGCTTCATGAAACTTGTTAGAAACAATCTTGAGYTGACCATAAGAGCAATCAAAATAAGTAAAATCACAGTATAAAAAGGGCAGCAGGAAGCATAAAAGAACTTAAACTATTTCAAATATTCTTCACCATTAAACCATTTTAAATCAAATGGTTACTTAATTTAACACAAGTTTTTAAAACAATACTTAAATATAAAAGAGAACCACCTAAAATATATATTAAAAATCTAAGTAAGAAATTCAGAATAGTGTATGGAAAAATAGCTGGAAAGTAGGCAGAAGGGTGGGATAAAGTACATGTTAAGAAAAATAAAATGGAAAACAGAAAAATGGCTACAGACGATCGGTGAATAATAGAAAGAACACAAGTGATCTACAAAAATGAAAAGGGTTCAATCCCATGACTACATGAATAAATAAAATTTAAAACACCAGTATGTTAGTTTTACTCGTCAAGTTAGCAAAATATTTTTAAACTGCAATGCCCTGCATTGTCTAGAACATGGTAAAATAAGCTGGTAGAGGAACTGCTGATCACATTTCATCTACTACAGGTGAATAGAAACTGAAAACAATTTTTCTGAGTAACAGTCTGACAATAGAAGACGTGAAGTTTTTAAAAGACCACACTCCCCTTCCTCACCGCAGTATTCCACTTCTAATTTTTCCTATAGAAATAAGACACACAGACAAGGTTGTCCACTGTAGCAGTCTATATGATGATATTCAAACAACTGGCAATGAATTGAAAAACAAAATGGAGAGGATCAATTTTTTTTTAATTTAAGGAATTCTTTGAGATTTATAATGTACAAATGATAAATAAAATTTTGTATATTTGTGACATACAATGGGATGTTTTAATATATGTATACATWGTGAGGATTCCTACAATCAAGCTAATTAATATATCCATCGTCTCAGAGTCACCTTCTTTTGGGTGTCTGGTGTGAATATTTAAGAACTACAATTTTCTTGGGCATGGTGGCACATGTCCATAATTCCAGCATTTCAGAAGGCTGAGGCAGAAGGATCATAAGTTCAAGGCCAGTCTCAGCAAATTGGCAAAAACCTCAGCAATGTGGGGAGACACTATCTCAAGATAAAAAATCAAAGGGACTGGGGATATACCTTAGTGGTAAAATATCCCTGAGTTCAATCCCCAGTACCAAAAAGAGAGAAAAAAAAAAAAACGGACCATCTTAACAAATTTCATGTATGCAATGTAATATTATTAACAATAAACAACCACCACCATGCTATACATTAGATCTCCAGAATTTATTCATTCTGCATAACTGAACTTTCTACCTCTTGACCAATATTTCCTTATTTCTCCCAACCCAACCCCTCATAGCTACATTTTATCCTGTGCTTCCTTACATAATTTTTAAGATTCTACATATAAGTGAGATAATATAGTATCTATCTTTCTGTGCTGGTTTGTTTCACTTAGTCTGTTTCCAGATTTCTCTAAGTTTTTACGAATGATAAGGTTTCCTTCCTTTTTAAGGTTAATACTTCATTTACACACACACACACACACACACACACACACACACACACACACACACACCACATTTTGTCCATGCACCTGTTGACACTTAGGCTCTCTATCTTGACTGTGTAGAAAATGCTGCCATAAACATAAAAATAAAGATATCTCTTCAAGATACTGATTTCATTTTCTCTGGATACATACCCACAAGTGAAAGTGCTGGATCACATATAGAAGTTTTTATCTTTCTGTGGAACCTCCATATCATTTTCCATATTGGCTATCCCAGTTTACATCTCTGCTAAGTGAGAACAAGAGTTCCCTTTTCTCCATATTCTCACCAATACTTGCTATCTATTGTCTTTTTGACAATAGTGATTCTAACTGTATGTCTTCTTTTGAGAAATGTCTATTTAGGCCCTTGGACTATTTTTTTTTAATTTTTTTTATTTTGTCATTGAGTTGTTCATATAGTTTGGATATGAACACCTCATCAGGAGTACAGCTTGCAAATGTGCTCACCCATTCCACAGATTGTCTCTTCAGTTTATGGATATCTTCTTTGTTGCGCATAAACTTTTAGGTCAACGCAATCCCAGTTGCCTAATTTTGCCTSTGCCATTTCGAAAAAAATTCATTGACCAAATCAATAGCAAGATTTTTCCTTTTGTTGTCTTCAATTAGTTTCACATTGTCAGGTTTTATATGTAAGTCTCTAATCAATTTGGAGTTGATTTTTGTATATAGCATGAGGTAAGGGTTCAATTTCACTCTTCTGCCTAGAAATATCTAGTTTTCTCAACACCATTTATTATAAAAGAAACTGTCCTTTCCCTCCTGTGTATTCTGGGAACCTCTGTCACTCTGTCAAAAATCATTAGGCACATAGGGTGTGTGTTTACTTGGGGGTTCTCTATTTTGTTCCCTTGGCAATACACCTGTTGCTAGGTAATAACCAGCTGATTTGATTACGATAGTTTTGCAGTATGTTTTGAGGTCTCTAGCTTTATTGTGCCTAAGATTTTTTTGGCTACTTGGGGTCTTTTGTGGTTCCACATGAATTTCAGTGCCACTTTTTCAATTTCTGTGAAAAATATCATTGCAACCATGGTAAGAATTTCACTGAATCATTGATCACTTGTGGTAGGACGGGAATTCTGACAATATCAATTCCCATGAATATGGGCTATTTTCCCGTTTATTTCAGTCCTTCTTCAATTTTGTTCATCAATCTTTTCATTTTCAGCGTAAAGACTGTTCACCTCCTTGGTTAAATTTATCCCTAAGTAGTTCCTTTTTGATACTATTATAAATGGGATTATTTCCTTAGTATCTTTTTTGAAGTTTATTGTTAGTGTGTAAACTGCAAGTGGTTTTTTTTTTTTATATTGACCTTCTATCCTGCAACATCAACTTTCTTAGTTCTGACAGGTTCTTGATGGAATATTTTTAGAATTGTCTGTATCTAATATAATCTGCAAACAGAGACCATTTTAGTACTACCTTTCTAATTTTAGTGCCTTTTATTTCTTTATCTTGCTTAACTGCTCTTTCTAGGACTTCTGTACTGTCAAATTAAAGTGGTGGAAGTGGGTATCTTTGTCTTTTTTGATACTGAGTTTGGGAATTGTGTAGGTTTCTCAGAAATGACCTCTATTACATTGACATATATTCCATCTAAACATAACTTGCTGAATTTTTATCAAAGGATGCTGAACTTTGTCACCTGCTTTTTCTGCATCTCTTGCAATCATATGATTTTTGTCTTTTATTCTGTTAATGCGGTGTATAACAATTATGGATGTGCATATGTTKAACCATCTTGCACCCAAAGAGTAAGTCCCAATAAATTATAGTATATAATCCTTTTTTGGTGCTACCATATATAGATGGATTAAGGATTTGTTAAGGATTTTTACATCTATGTTTATCATATTTACTAGGTCTAATAATTATCTTACAGTGTCCTTCTTTGGTAAGGTATGAGAGTAAAAATGACCTCGTAACATGAATTTGAAAGTGTTCTTTTTTCTTCAATGTTTTAGAAGAGTTTGAGAAGAAGTGGCAATAATTTTTCTTTAAATGTTTGATAGCAAAGCTAGTGAAGCAGTAAGTGCATAGGCTTTTCTTTGGGAGGTTTTTGATTCAATATTGTTACTCATGATTTGCCCATTTAAATTTTTATTTCATCATTTTTCAGTTTGGATAGATTGTATATGTCTTGGAATGTATCCACTTGCTCTATATCATCAAATTTATTGGCATAAAATTGTTCATTTTTAATCTCATAAGATCCTTTATACCCCCATGGTATAAATGGTGACATTCTGCTTTCATTTATAATTTTTCTTCTCCTTTTTCTTAGTCTAACTAAGAACAAATCATAATTTTATTCATATTTCCAATTGTTTTTCTCATTTCAACTATTTTGTCTTCCTTCTCTGTATCTTAGCTTCCTTCTGCTAACTCTGCAACTAGCTTGTTCTACTTTTTCTAGTTCCTTTGGGTATTAAGTTACATTGTTTATGTGAAGGATCTTTCTTTCTCCTTTAATATAGGTATTTATTGTGAAAAACTTTTGAGAAATTCTTTTGCTGCATCCCAAAAGTTGTGGTAAGTTGTGTTTCCATTTTCATTTCTCTCAAAAATATCCATTTCCCTTTTCTTTTTTAACAAACTAATTGTTCAGGAGTGAGTTTTAAATTCACATATAATTGTAAATTTTACAATTTTCCTCTGGTTATTGATCTGTAGATTTATAACAATGTGGGGGGGAGGGAATTTAAAAGATGCTAATTGTTTTCAACCTTCTTAAAATTATTAATACTTGTTTTGTGGCCCAATTTATTATTTAATCTGGAGAATGTTCTGTGTGCACTTGAAAAGAATACATACTCTTCTGCTGTTGGGTGGAATGTTCTATATGTGTATCTGTTAGGTCCAGTTGTTCTATTGTGTTCAAGTCTGCTATTGCTTTGTTGACTTCCTGTCTGGGTGACCTATCTATTGTTAAAAGTTGGGTACTGAACTTACCCACTCTTTATTATACTGCCATCTATTTCTCCCTTCAGTTCCATTAATATTGGCTTTATGCATTTAGGTGTTCAAATGTTGGGGGAATATACATGTACAATTGCCCTATGCTCTTTTATTTTCAATATGGAATGCTTCACAAATTTGAATGTCATTGTTGACAGGGGCCATGCTAATYTTCTCTGAATYGTTCCTGTTTTAGTAAATGTGCTGCCAACGTGAGCAATGTCACCTGCTCTTGATGAACTGACCTCCTTATCACTATCTGATGACATTTTCTAATATACTGTGACAGTGTCTAACTTAAAGTCTATCTTGTCCAATGTAAGTAGAGCCTCCTCTGCTCTTCTGGTTACCATTCACAGGGGGCATCTTTTCCTATGCATTCATTTTCAGKATATGTGTGTTCTTAGCTGAGGTGAGTCTCTTTTAGGCAGCATATATAGTAGTCCACTCTTATTTGMAGTTTTGCTTTCCATAGTTTCATTTAYCTGCYGTCAACCACAATTCTRCAACYCCCAAATATGTCATCAAGGCTTGTTGATCCAGGATCATCTGAAGCCTGTGATCTTCTTTCTAACATATCATCAGAGGGTCATTAGTAAGCCAAAGCCATGACACAATGCCTACATCCTTCACCTCGCCCTTCAGGTAGGCATTGCATCAGCTCACAAAAATCACAAGGGCAAGCACAGTATATTTTGAGATAAGAAACAACGTTCATAGAACTTTTACTAAAGTGTAATTATAATTATTCTATTTTACTAGTTAATGCTGTTAATAYCTTCTAAGTCCAATTTATAAATTAAACTCTATCACAAATATGTATATATAGGGAAAAAAACATTGTATATTCAGGGTGTAGTACTATTCATGGTTTCAGGCACTCACTGGGGATCTTGAAACATATTCCCGGAGGATAAGAAGAAACTGATGTAGTTGGATTGYTTTTTTAAAATCCTTTCAGTCACTCTATGATGTTGGGTTGTAGAATATAATTCATTTACGTTTAACTCTTTATAAGGGTCTACTATAGACATTTTGTTCATTGTTTTCTGACAGTTTTATACTTCACTTATTCCTTTCTTCCTTTCCTGTTCTCTTCGTTTGTGTTCTGTAGTGGTATGCTTTGCTTCCTTGGCCCTTAYCCTTAGTACATCCTCTTTGCTTTTCTTTGTGATTACTATGAAGCCTACACAAAATATCTGCTTAAAGATATCAATGACTAAACTTTGCAAATAAAAAACTGCACTTAAAACATTTCTCTTCCCATTTTAATGTTATTGATGTTGCAATTTACATTTTTATATGTTTTSTGTCCACTAACAAATTACTGTAACAACTATGAGAGTTTAAAGTATTTTATGCACAACTAGAGTACTTTGAGCACACTCTTACATTTGCCATGAGTTTTACACTTTAGTTTTCATGTTATTAGTCTTYATCCCAATGGGAAGAGTTCCTTTAGCAATTCTTCTGAAAAGGTCGAATGCTGATGAACTTCTACAGCTTGTGTTTGTCTAGCAAAGTCTCCTTTATTTTTAAAGGAGAGCCCTGTCAGGTACAGTGTTCTTGGTCAGTAGATTTTTTTCCTTTCGTCTCTTTGAACATATCATCTAACTACCTCCTGGTCTATAAATTTTCTGCTGAAAAATCTACTGACAGTCTGATAGAAGTTCCCCTATATATGACAATGTGCTTCTGTCTTCCTGCTTTTAAATTTTTCTCCTTATCCCTGACTTAAAAACCTAGATTACAATATCTTGATGTTATACTTTAGATTTGAAAAGCTCCCCGAAAGTTTATGTGTCAAATGCAATGCAATAATGTCCAGAAAAATAAGGTTTTTAGAGAATGATTGGACAGTGAGTGCTCTAACCTCATCAATGGATTAATCAATCTGATGGAYTAATGATTTTAATGAACTGGGTGGTCACTGCAGGTAGGTGGGGTATGGCTGGACAAAGTGGATTCCTGGAGATATGCCCTTGGGGACTATTTCTTGCCCCTGGCCCCTTCCCACCATCTGCTTCCTAGCTGTTGAGAGGTAAGAAGCTTCTCTGCCACACATTCCTTTCTCCCATGATGTCCTGCCTCACCTTGCACCCCCCCACAAAGGAGTCAGCTGACCATGGACTGAAACCTGAGAGAGTAAACTAAAAATGAATCTTTCCTCCTTTAAATTGCTTGTCAGATATTTTTGTTCACAGCAATGAAAGCTAACCAATATACTTGGTAAACACATCTTTTATCATTGTCTGAGATTGTTTGGCTTCCTGGACCTGAATATTCATTCCTCTCTTCAAATTTGAGAAGTGTCCTAATTCTTAAAAATCAAGGTTTCTGCTCTTTTTTTTCTCTCTACTCCTTCTGGAACTGCCATAATGCATATATTAGTTCACTTGATAATGTCATAAGTCTCCTGGGTTCCTTTGACTAATTTCACATGACTTATCTTGAAGCTCACTGATTCTTCTGCTGGGTCAAGTTGGCTATGAAAGTTCTCTATGGAATTTTTAAGTTTATTTTGTTCTTCAGTGCTAGACTTTCTATTTGTTTATTTATTTTTTAATGGTGTATGTCTCTTTCTTGAAATTTTCAATTTGCTCCTATCTTGTTTTCCTATTTTAGTTTAGCTGTCTATCAGTGATTTCTTGAAGCTCACAATTTTGTTTGAATATGAGAGGTTCCCACAAAATCTCCAGTGATTGCAGGAAATCCAGAGGCGAGATGATTAGATCCTGAGAGGTGTGACCTCMTCAGYCCATCCTAGTTTGAATGAACTGAYTGGGCGGTAACTGTAAGTAGGTGGGGCATAGTTGGAGGACATAGGTGGGTCACTGGAGGCGTGCCTTAGGTGCAAATTCCCTGTGCCCCTCTCCCCTCTTTCTCTGCGTCCTGCCCTTGCCATAAGCTGAGACGACTTCCTCTGCYGGGCCCTTCCCYCACGATGTGCAGCCTCACCTTGGGCCCAGAGCAACAGAGTCAGCCATCTATGGACTGAGACCTCCAAAACCATGACTCCCAAATAAACTTTTCCTTCTCTTGTTGTTCTAGTCAAGTATTTGGGTGACAGCAGTGCAAAAGCTAATTAAAATATTCACTGAACTTCAAGATAATAATTATAAATTCTTTGTCAAAGAGTTCACAGATTTGCATTTCTTTAGGGTCAATTACTGACATTTTACTTTGTCACATTGGTAAGATCATATTTCCCTGCTTAKTTGAGATACTTGTAGCATTGTGTTGATATCTAATCATTTGATAAAGCAGAAATTTCTTCTATTTTTCACCAGTCAGCCTATTTGGAGATTTTGTGGGGGACATCKGACAGGCTCCACATGTGTGCTTGTTGTTAGGAGTCCTTGGGTGGGCTGGCCTAGYGCTTCAGGCAGTGGACACACTGGCCTAGCTGGGGCCTCAGAGACAAGCCTGGAACCTGGGTCTACTAGGCAAATGTCCTTGGTTTGTGGAATTAGCCTAAAGCTGGGGACTATAGGCGTGGGCTTGAAGCCTGCTATGTGCCACTCTGACACTACRGGCAGTCCTAGGCCATGGGTCCATTGATCCAGCAGAGACTATGGCTGCAAGGGCCGGCCTGGAACCAGGGCTGATCTACTGCCTGGGTCCACAGGAGCAAGCCTAGATTCTAGGCTTTGAGGGCTACTTGGTATATGGACCCCCCTGAGGCTGACCTGGACCCTGGGTCACTAGAAGTAGGCCTAGTTTTGGGGTGAGCATGTAGGCCTAGTTTTGGGGTGAGCGTGGAGCCTAGGTCTGTGGACACCTACCAAGAGACTAGGAGGGGCCAGTCTGGCATCACAGTTCATTAAGAAAGACCTGTTGTCAGGTCAACAACAAAGTCAAGTATTCCTTTCATTTCCCTTTCCCCCTGCAGGGGCTATCCCTCTCATATCTAAGCTCTCTGGGGGAAGGAGGGGTAACAGAGTAATTTAGACTGYCTTTACTGCCTTCTCTAATGCATCTGTTACTTCTGTGCTCCATCCAGTGTTGTAAGCTCATCCTTTTAGTTCCTATGAATGTATTCTCATGTATAGACAATTGTTCAARTTGATTTTCTATGAAAGGACCGGCACAAGAAAGCYTTACCCTGCCATCTTGCTTGAAGGTAAGGGATAATTTTYAAACTAGTTTTCTAAATTRATATTTTCAAGGAATATTAAATGATAAGAAAAATGCTATAATATATAAAATCATTGGGGGGTAAACAGATACAAAACATTATGTATATTAATTTTCTAAAAAGAAACATACATAGTTAGCATGGTGGATTGCAAGTTCACAGTCAGCCTCCACAACTTAGCAAACCTGTGTCAAAATTATAAAAAAAGAAGGGGCTGGGGATATAGCTTGATAGGAGAACATCCCAGGTCAATTTCCAGTACAAAAAAAAAAGTAAAGAAAAGAAAAAGGAATATATGTTACCAAGTATAAAAGAAATGCTAGAAAAAATTAGACTCATTAGGTTTAAATAGTATTATCTGTTCTTTACATTTCCCTATARTTTGAAAATTCTCTACAATGAACATGAACCATATTTAATTAATTCCATGGTACACTTTTTCTTCATTTTTAAAATCTCTGAAATTCACATATATCTTAAGACTGATGGCAAATTTAGCTAGATATTATTGCACATTTAGTAGTGAAAAAATAAAACAATAAATATTATTATGTTTTAAAGACTCACATGGGGCTGAGGTTGTAGCTCAGTGCCTGCCATATGTAAGGAACTGGGTTAGATTCTCAGCACCACATATAAATAAATAAAAGTTTCATTGACAACTAAATAATTTTTTTTAAGAAGATACAAATGGAAACGTACAGTGAAAGTATTCTTAGAAAAGAGGTATTCACTAATGGCTATGTACTGCCATTRGTGAAGGCAGTAAAAGTTTTGTTAATCTTGTAAAGGATAGGTATTATCTTTGTAAGATCTTGTGAATCTTCCCCCAAATGTAATTTTCCCTGACMGTAAAACCTTCTTCATAAAAACAAGTATGAGGCTGGAGGTGCAGAGCACTTGCCAAGCATGTATGAGGCCCTGGGTTCCATCCCTAGCACCTCACACACATACAAACACACACACACAAAAAAAGTATGAGGGAGAATATGAACTGAAGATACCCAGTTTTTTTTTTTTCCTCTCTCTCCCCCTTTCTTTGAAAATTAACTTTTGTGGAATGCTAGGTTTGTTGTTGTGTT